TATTTGAATGTATCTGAACTCATTAAGAATAAACATACTTCTTGCTTGTTGTTAGTGCAACAGCTGGGATGCACATTTTTGTAGACTTAAGGTGAAATGGTTGCTTAATGAGAGTGTGTTCACTAGGCATGGACACTTTGAAATTTATTTTTGTTTTATTGCTACAAATCTCACTAACTTGATTATTATCTGGTATTTTATTATTTTGCGTATTTTATGACATTACTTATTTCGTTGATTTATTTGTAGAAAATTGAAATATTTTATTCGTCGCATATAGATATTAGCTAGATAAATAATGATTAATAAGAAATGGCTAACTGATTTTTGTCTTTGTGTAAGTCTCACCAGCTGCAAGTGAAGATCAAGGCTGTTGATCCTCGCATTCTTAAGAGTTGCTTTGTAAGGAGGACTACATTTGCTTTTTCAAGTGTAACCTCCGATTGATATTAGTCAGAGAACCATTGAGAACCAGTTGAAAGTACTGGACAGCTGTTTCATCCTACTTTGGGAGTCATTGGCAGTATGCACCCACCAAAGAAGTTCGGGCCCAGGACCTTTCGGTTACAAGGCAAGCTCATATACGATTCAGCCAATGAGACCCCATTGGGGTCACGCTAAAATCACGAATTACTATAAGTCAGTTTAAATATTCAGCCACTGTGTTAATATTTGCAAAACGAATTTTGGCTGTTTATGAGAATTCAAAAAACACAGCAGTAATTGCGCAGTGTCTAACTTATTATTATTCTCTTGGGTTCCAACTGGAATATAGGGCTGGCTTCAACAATACATCTCCATTTTCTTATATTTTCTGCTGTCCCCTTAAGCTTGGTCTACGATTGCCCATAATCTCTCATCTCCTTTTGGCCCCTCCTTCCTCGGGGACACACTCAACTCGTCGTCTCGCATTCGGATATCACTCGAGGGCTTGGGACGCGATGTCATTTGACGGTCTTCTCTGCGTAAGCCTGACCCATCTCAATTTTCCCCTAAATATTTGTTCAGCGATCGGCTCTTGGTTGGTTTGTTCCCAGTCAAAGTTTCTTGTTCCTAATTCTTTCTAGCCATTTAATCTTTAGTATGGAGCTAGCTAAGGTAGTAGCCTGTTGGAAATCGTTTTCGTGATGCGCTGTGCAAGTTTCTGTCCAGCATAGAAGAATTGACTTAACAATTGGGGTGGATATCAGAATCTTGTTGTTTAAGCTGAGTTAGTGTATAAGATTTCCAAACCGACTTCAGATTGATGAAGGTGTATCTTGCCTTTCCGATTCCACCTGGCTTTGACATCTTCACCCGTTCCGCCGGCCCTTTTTTGAAACCGTGCTTCCTAGATAACTGAAGGAGACAACCTCCCTTGATAGTGATTGGCGCTGGTTGTTTTTACTGTCTCCAACTTCTCTATGTTCATCTGCAATCCTGTCTTCCCTGCTAACCACTCTGCCAGTTTGTTGCCCTTCACCTGTAAGCCTTCGAGTCTGTGTGACATTAAACATAAATCATCCACGTGCTAAATCCACATCTCGATTCTACTTATCGGTCGTCCAGCGTATTCCTATCTCGTCGCTCAACACAGTCTGACGCATAATCCAGTCCACCACAATTAGGAATATCAACGGTGTCTTACTTCTTTATGCAGTTCAAACGCCTCACTGAGTTTTCTTTTGTGGATCACCTCGGTGAACGTTGTTCGTTAAGGGTCTTTTCGAAGTAGATGAAGCTGTTGAGGTAAGGATGGGTTTGACTGCCATTCTATGATTTGTTCTGTGATGATGATGATGATGATGATGTGCGTAGAGGTACAACTTGATCACCACATGATTTGCCTTTCCTGAATCCACCAAGCTTGTTCTGCTTGGCGGGGTGGAGTTTTGTACCCAATGCATCTTTTATTTTCTCCAAGGTGATATGATATAGTAATTTACTTGGCGTGGACAAGAACATTATTCTAACTTAGATTACCTTAAAAGAAATTCATAACCTCTTAAAATTTATAAACGTCATTTCAGAATTGCTTAAAAATCAGCCCTAAACAGAAATTTACTTAGGCCGTCCGTCAGAAATGAGTTGATTCATTGAATTTAGAAAATAAAAGCTAATAACTACATTATCTGTACGAGGATTTCACTGATTTTTCCCATACAATTGACCTTAAATAGAAAACTAATCTTCGTTTGACACGTTCCAATAACGTTCATCTCATTTTAATTGATTATTTGTATTTCTGATATTCTTCCTGTCAAATGTTAAATCTGTCTGTGACAATGAAACCGGTTAAAATACTTCCGTCAGTGTTATTGTGACCTCATTGGTGCCGACATATTGAAAAAAATTAACCCACAAGCTATGAAATCTTTAGGAAGAGAGTGAATCAATCATTTCAGTGCTCATTTCTTTAGTTGCCTTTAGTAGCTTTGATAACAACATAAATATTCACAAAATATATCATCAGTAATATTTGTTTATAGTTTTTTTTAAGACTCTTTAATTCTAGCTATTCATCAACATTATGAATTTGAAAAGGTTGCCTTATAATCAGAAGGTCCTGGGTTCGAACCTAAGCGCATGTGTATTGCTGAAGAGTCCCAGACAGCTGTTCAATACTCCCCGATTTCTGTGCGTCGGTGGCATAGCGGTTAGGACGCCCGCCAATCATGCACATGGTCCACGGTTCGACCCCCAGCCGACGCATTCTTCCTTTACCTTGCTAAAAAACCATAAATAATGCCGGTAAAGAGGAAAGATTGGGCATGAGGCTAGCAACCTCACCCTGTAAAAACAAAACACTGCTACAGAAACTTCAAGCCACTAGCTTGAAGTCCCGCGTGAAGGAAAAAAAGTGAATCTGAAAATTTTACTATTTATTATTACACTAAACTAAAGGTTATTTTAGTGGTTTTAGAAAGTTTGGTGAATCATAAGATTAGTTAGACTGTTATGGGTAACATAAGGAAAACAAAAAAGTAAACTCCTGTGAAGGGTTTTTTGAAACCAGATGAAAGTGGACAGTTGATCAGACTTACTCTGAGACCACCCAGTTGTTTTCACCCAAGAACTTCTGAAGGATCAGCCTGAGAGCAGTTCGATGTCAAGAGAAATATATTATCATAATGCCTCTGGAGTAGAATCTATTGGTTCAAGATATTTTAATTCTATCAGTTTTCGGTGGAGTGTCATTACTCTACAACAACGGTCTAGTTGTATCATCCACCGATCTTGTAGCTGACGTCAGTTTCTGTTACAAAACTACAGTCTGCCTTAAAATAATGTAACTTAAGCAAATTAAATGTTAGAAAGTGTCAGGCTTTCAAACACTTCATTTATAAGGAGGAAATTATTTATTGACAGGTTACTTTATGAAGAGGTTTTATGTAGAAAGCCATTTAAACAAGTAAACAAAATAGAAAGTTCCATAACTGTATGAATGCGCTTTAAATAGCACCTTGCAGGCTACTGATTTAACTGCATTGTGTAAATCAGATGATTCCACAAAGAAATCGATCCACTGTGCATACATGTGATGTTGTTTAGTGTCAAATAGGTTAAGTAATATATTCACTAATAAAGTGCGTTGGTAGCACAGCAGTAGAATGCTCGTTGGCCATACAGGTGACCTGGGGTTCGATCTACGGTCGGTGCATTCCTCTACCTCGCTAAGCCAGTAATAAGGCTGGTAAAGTAGGAAGGTTGGTTGGGCATGGGACTAGCAACCCCATCCCGTAGAAATAAACACCTTTGCTACTGAAACTTCAAGCCTCTAGCTTCAAGCCCTATGTTCCATGAGGAACCCAAAGGAATAAAAACTTCACTTATAAAACTATACCTAATAACAGTGAGGGAAATTCGATTTTTATTTTGTTGTACATTCTGATTACAATTCATTCATTGAATTATTCATCTTATTACGCAACCATAATAACCATCATTCAAATCCTCTCAACCATTGACTAATATTGACAATTATGATAATGACAAGTCATCACTCTTTTCAATATTCTCTTTTGTGGAGAAAAATGTATATAAAATATGTTATTCTACAGCTAAAGAAAATGAATTCGCCGAAAATAGACTATCCGCTGGACTACTTGTTGTGTTTTTTTCGTTATTGCCTGGATGAGGATTATTCATGTTGTTTTTGAATCTCAGTGACGAATTCTGTATCCAGAAAACTTCTTGTATAATACAGTATGAGTTGGAAAAATCCTTTATTGTGTTGTTAATAAGATAGCCTACTATACGGGTCAGAAACTTTCACTGCATGTCATCAACAGCTGCCACCTTCGCTGACTGGCTCCATACTGAATTTTTTATTTATTTATTTTTTTTATTTACAGCTTGATTCCACACTGTATTTTTGGTACAAGTATGGAATTTTCAGCATGGATATCGGTAGCCCAAATTTTGCAGGCCGACCATAGATATCAGGTGTGCATCGGCGTGGGCTCGAACCCCGGACCATGTGCATGGTTGGCGAGAGTCCTAACCACTGTGCCACCGACGCAATCAAATGGCCAGTCAGAAAGAATTAGCAACAAGAAACTCAGGCTGAGAACAAACCAACAGGAGAGAACCGATTGCTCAACAAATAAATATGTAGGAGAAAGTGAAGATAGATCGGGTATACTTTGAGAAAACCGTTGAATGACATCGCGATCACTGCACGCCATCACTCTTGTGGAATCGGAATAGGAAGCGACGTTTGGGTTGTCAGTGCAAGGGTGACATGGAGGAGATCGTGTGACGAGGAGGAGATGACAGATTATGAGCAATCTTGTGGCCAGCCAGCTAAAGATGACGGTAGAAAATAGGAGAAAGTGGAGATGTGTTGTTGAAGCCAGCCCTGTTTTCCACTCGGAACCCAAGGGAATAATAATAATAATATAATAAGGAAGCCTTTATGAACTAGCATTCTGTAAGGATAAGTATATAATACTGAAACTCACTTATAAGATAGTTTATCGATCTGATTTTGTTTTGTTTTATTTATTATTTCTATTCAGAGTGGATGCAACAAGTAGAATGACTGCACACTTGAATAAATTACATCATGGTAAACTTGTTGAATGTAGAGCAGAAAACACTGGTTACGAAATGCATACACTACGTCCTGCTCAAACAAAAATTGAAGTTCATTGTAAGTCATTTCTCCCCCACCCCCCGTCGCTGGCCATTTTCTTTCTTGAACAAATGTCTCGTTTTCTTTTTTTACTATAGATCATTTGAAAATGACTAACTCTCATCATCCATCCGTATTGACTATTTAAAACTTTCAGGCAGTTCTAATGATGCATATCCACAAGTCACGTAACACTTCCCATTTAACCAATTAAGTATTGATTTGATTCATAAACCAATAGTCCTAAGTCCTTCATATAATCTCTGTCTTCATAATATAAATAGAAAGGAGAATCCGGTTGAAAAACTGAAATACATTCATATAACAGTGATAGATCAATCTGTCAACCTTGTCTACTTATCAGAAGATTTTATATGAATAGTTGAAAATAGAATCAGGTCAAGCAAAAGTATTTTAAGGTAGTATAGGCTCTAGCACAAACATCTTCATCATCACCACACAAATAACTACGTATATTTTGATCGAAGAAGAATCTCACTGCAGTAATGAAAATATTCAGTGATTGTTGGTATGTATCCCTTTCATAGTGACTACAATTACATTTTTGCCTTTAAATGAATACAGGTAGCATACAGGCATCATTATCTGTAGATGAACTCCTCATAGTAACAGGTTAATCTTAAAAAAAAAAACTCTTGAATTCATTCAATGGAAACTGTCAGTGCTGTATGCCTACGTGAGTTGGTGGCCTCTTCATGTTTTCACTTATGTTTATACATTATTAATCCTTATTTCCCGTCTTAGTTAGTCCTTTTAGTTGTCAGTATTCAGTATGACTTGACGGAGTGTAGATCTTCCAACATACTATTTATTATCATTATTATTACATCTATTACTTCAAATGATTTGCTTGACCTGTAAATCAATTTTTACTATTTGACATATAAAATTTGGACAAATAAATATGTTAAAACAAGATATATAAGCGAACGATGTTGCTTTCAATTTGATCTTCTTCAGGCTTCACTCTAACTTACATAGATTTATATGTAGAAATTTTAACCAATGATGGTGATTTTGTGGATCAAATAATAATAATAATGTGGTAAATGTTTTGAACGTAGTTAATAACGGTGATTATAATGATAACAAAATATTGATAATAAGGTTTAAGCACGTAGCGATAAAAATAACGAAGGTAGTAATATGTGTGTATATGTAGACAATTCAACAAATAAATTCGGTCAAATCTTAAAAGTCACCTAATACTAAAGGTGAAGTGGACAGATAGTCAGAGTTAAAATAAATATCATAAAAATACGAAGGAAAGGGATTATAAGAAAGGGTGGGAGGGTTTTGAAAAGAATTCACCTAGGCAAGCAAGGGAGAGACAAAGGTAGAACAAACTTCTATTGTATGCAAAAACTAGGATTGTTCTCTCGAATTCCCATAGCTTCTACTATGTGTAAAAGGCGGACTAAAATTCCGTTTGAAAGGCTCAATGGAATGCGATAGATAACTTTGATGGCACTATTTTTGTCCACTTGGTGACCACTATCAATCAAATGAGCCAAAATAGAACTTCGTATAGATTTTATTTGGTTTTATTTTTCAAACCATGAAGGAAGATGCTCATTAATGCGTTTGTTAAGCTGTCTAGTTGTTCACCCTGTATAGCTCTCTCCAAAGGATCAACTAAATTTGTAGATACGTATAGAAGTGGCATAGTTTGGTAGCTTGTCTTGCACTTGAGCAATCAAAATTGGTGGGCTGGAAAGTGACAAAGGGTGGCGGCAGTATAAGTCCGTTTTAGTGCTCTCGATAATCTCATATGTTAGACATGTGAAGAAATTATTCAACTCGTTCTGAAAACAGATAAATACCAAACAGTCCTCTAAGTAGTTGGCTATGGCTATAAATTCATTGATGAAAGGATGCAGCTGAAACTGTACAGCTCATATTTGTAGATTTACACCAACGGGTTTCAATGATTTTCAATATGTTAGCATTTAAGATATTGTTTTGATTGGACACTAGTCAGTAAATAGGATAACGTGTCTAGTCCTGTCTTCGGTGCAAACTGAGTCCTATCAGTCCAGCTTGCAATGTGGTCAACATACTAGTTGGCTCATCATCACAGTACACAGTGAATTGTTAGTGGCTACATCACGAAATCGACTAATAGAATTCAGTCTGCACCAAACGAAGAACTAGACACGTCAAACTAGTTACTGACCAGTGTCCAGGAGGTCAATCGCGAGCCCGAATAGCTCAGTGGTAAAGTATCCGACTGCAGCGTTGGGTGATGGGCGTTAAAATCTCAGAAGGTAAATGAGTTCCTTCAAGGCTTCAGATACACCTTGCTGACTGGTGACTGCCAAATAGCACGAAACCTAGGTCGAGCAAGGCTTCCTACCCACAATTTAAGATATTGTTTAGATGGACAGCTTAAGCTCCTAAGTTAAGCCGTTTGTCTCAAGAAACAAAACAACATCAGAATGACCCACCTGAAGTAACGATTTTCTGCATTACTTCTAGATATTTATGTTTTGGTTATACCTATTGATTGGTGGCCAGCGAGAAAACCTCTAACTAAATGTCAGTCGTGGTTTTCACTGCCAGTCACCACTGGAAAGAAGTCCACACCAAGATATTAACATAATATTATTGCAGCTGATTATAAAGCACACTTATTTAAAAAGTTTCACCAACTCGACTTAGCTAAACTGTTAGGAGAGCTGTCTGTAAGCCAAAATTATAGACAACAATTTACGTCAATGTTTACGTCCCGAATCGGGGTCATGAGTAAAAACAATAACGAAGCCTAACCTTGAGGAACTCACCAACCAATCACAGCTGACTTAACGAGCGGATATATGACTCGCAGATGTACGGCTTAACTTTCTGAGAAACAGCCACAAGCAGTACAGAATAACTTTCAACAAGAAAACAACCAATCAGAAGAGATTGCTTCTCCACTAACAATAACGCTAATAATAATGCAAATAAAAATCTATAAATACCTCTTGATTTTCTCAATAAACGATCTTCTGCCTGACCTTTGTCTTCTGTCGTTAAAAAAAAACTAGTGTCAAACTTGGAAATACAGTAAATATAAGTCATAAAACTATACACATAGTTGAAAACATGTACAATATCAACAGTGTCATTTTGGGCGATGAATTGCAGTCAAATTTTCATACAGTTGTTAATCCTCCGTTATATCGAAGAAATTCATATGATATCTTTCATTTGACACTAGTCAGTAGCTAGTGTGATGTGTTTAGTCCTATCTTTGGTACAGACTGAATTCTGTAAGTTAAGTGTACAACGTGGCTAACATGCTAGACGACTCACCAACATGATGCACTGTGAATTGTTGATATTAGATGGTTGGAGGTAATCAGCAGGAAGCCTTGGATCTGGGCTTCCTTTATACAACTTGAAGAGGTGGAATCTCTGCAAAGTTTCCTTAGGAAACCAAATTACTCAGATCTCAATATGTGGTCAGCTTGATACCATAGATTTTCATTAAGTGACCAAGCATAAATGCATACAACTATGAATTACCGATTGATTGAGAAGAGTAGTCATATACTACCAACATCAACCAGTGGTGCTTGTAAGCCAGATCGAAGTGATCAAAACACCGGATGGTTGTTTCTCTCGTTTGGGAGCGAGCTTATCACAAGTGAACCCGATGTGATTCTGCTCAGACAACCTAATTAGTTCAAATCACCTCCTGTCAGCTCTCTGAGCTGAGTCGAACCAATTGTCCATTCACCAACTTATTATTCCATGACCAATATCTCCATGCCATTGATGTATTCAGATAATGTCCGAATTAAATATTTCAAGAGTTTGAAATATGGACACTGTTATGGCCTTTAAAAATGTCCAAGTAAAGGTTCGTTTACTGCAACCAGTTTACACTAGTCTGTTTGACTTCATATAATCATTATTCCAGATAAAAGGTATTTAACAAAGAAAATAAAGTTAATTTAATCGTTTTAACGTGCTTTTCATTCACTAACTTTTACAGATGCACCTGTTGTAAGTATACAAGTACGGCCTTCACGACCAGACAATCTATACATGGAGCATGATATTATTACTGTTGAATGTAATGCTCATGGAAGACCAGATTCTTTTTTCTGGGAGTAAGTACACTTTGAATAATATCGATGTTTTGTTGATTTATTTTTTTTTTGACTGATTTGTCGAAAGCAACTGTAGTTATTATTATTAGTGATCATTTATGCTAACATCGTAAATGAAGCTAAAAAGAGCCCCAAGTGAAATCAAGGCTTGTATTGTTGAGGCTACACCATAAAATCCATTACTTGAATATACATTTTGTGGTAATCCTGACTTCAATTCAACTTCAGTTAACATTTCCTACTGTGCGTTGGCGGCACAACGGTTAGGACTCTCGTTGGCCATGCACATGGTCTGGAGGTCGATTCCCTGCCAACGCACACCTGATATCAATGATCGGCCTGCTAAATTTGGGCCACCGATATCGCATGCTAAAAATTCCATACCTGTACCAAAAAAATACGGTGTGGGATCAGGCTATAATCAAAAATAATAAATAAATAAAATAAATTAGATAACCTGTTTGTAACAAAACTTAGAAGAGGACTGGGTAGTGTTTTACAATGCAACAGATGTGTCTTGCTAGGACAACAAACTTATACCACTATATCGCTGCTATTTACTCAGGGAACAAGAGTTACATAGTTCTGTAATTTGCAAGACAGACATATTCAAACACAGCTTCTTTCTTAGCCCGAGGCCATTGAGAAGTGCGAATCATCCACTTTGAAGGTAACGAATCCAGAATAAGAGAGTTTTTGTCTAAAGACATCAAGTTAGCCATCAATGACTGTCATTGAATAAATTCAATTTATGATCTATGAGTTTCAATTCCTACAGTAGCAAATGATTTCATACGAAATCCTAAAAGATTTTTGCTGTTTATTTCCAAGATCAATATACATATCAGCATCAATTCAGTCCTATAAATCAGACCAGAAAATTTGAAGCATTTAAAACTTTTAAGATATTTATTTGTATCCTTTATTTATGTCTTTTGGTGAACATATGAATGAATCAACTTTTAATTGAAAATAACCGACCGATACAAGCTAATGAATCACTTTTCGATTGTATTCACTATTCTGGTGGTCTGTTGATTTGGTCACCTTGATAGAATATATAGGCTACACATTTGTTGCCTGCTTTTTCATGAAAACAAATTGTTTGCTAATATCCCCTTCTAAACGTTATTTAATGGTCTGTGTAGAAAACACATGCAGAAACAAATTCACCTAAATTGGACTATTCTTAGTCTAATTTTATGCATACATAGCCGCCGATAAAAAGATGGTTGGTATTAATACATCAGTTTCCAATATTTAGTATTAGTACTGAAGTAAAGTTGGCATTTTCTTCACTTAAATTGTAGAAAATAAATTGGTTCCACTCATTTCAAATACCAAATGTCAATTGAATATCTTGTTTCTTATTTGAAAACACTTCAGTAGGGCTTTTTACACATACAAATAGTAAGAATCTGAAAGTGGCTAACGTGAACTGTATTATTAGTGTGTCAATGGTATAAATCTCTATAATACATGAAGTTATTTAATTGACTACTTAAAGAGCATTCTAAGGATAATAGGGTGTGTTACAAGGTTATTATTGTTATTTGGGTTATAAGTAAAATAAAGCGCTTCAGCAAGATATCTCCACTTCACTCTGTCTTCTTTAGTCGACGATTGTGCATAAGCTTTGATTTTCCCTCACACGATCTCCACTATGTCACCCTAGCACTCTAGCCTAAGCTATTGTTTCCCATTAGTGTTCCACTGACGGGACTACTCACTGTGTATTGGATCCATCTTCATTTCCTTCTGAATATTTGTCCGGTAATATGTCTTCGGTTGCTTTGTTGGCAATCCTTGCTGGCTACTTGTTCTTCAATAAAGAGTGAAGGCAGCTGTCGATAAAAGTTGCATATACTATGCTTAGAATTACTTCAAAATAACTGTGGTAGAAAAATCAGAGTTTTAGAACAGTTTACTTATAGAATTATTTATGATCTCATTTGTTAGATTTCTTCAGGAATTAACATCAGTTAGAGGGAAAATTGGAAACTAAGGAACACTGGAAAACTGTTTCGTTCTATTTTGAGATTCTTCACCAATGAGCACCTATGACCCTGAAAGGCATCGAATGCGAGATTTTCAGGTTATAAGACCAAGCTTGATGACCATTCATCCACTTAGGCTTAAATTCACTAACACTTCGCCTAAGTAAGTGGGACACTCATCGAAGGCACTAGCGATGGTAGCTCTGTATCACGAAATGACGAAGTCAGAATTCATAGGTCACTGAATCCCAACTCGAATTGCTGAATGGTTAGCGAACTTGATCCAGTAAGGTTCGAGGTTCGGTCATCGGTGTGAACTGATAAAGAGTCCTGAAATGGGACGAAATACCTGTCCAGTGCTTTCTGGTTTTCAGTGATATTAGTTCATGAAAAAATCTGACAAATGAGAAGAATCCAAACCCCACAAATCCCTTAATCTGACTATTCATAATCACCTTTTCATTTTAATTAAAATACTCTGGTTTCTCCGAAGAAAAACACTTTTTCTTTAGCTTTTCATTGAATACATCAAGAAAAGTGGTAGCTTCACAGACATTTTCTATGCTATTTATGATGACTGCGGTAAAGAAAATACATTTGGGTGAAGTTAATATATCATAGCCAGAGCCAAGGTCTTTCAAAATTCGGCCTTTAAGAACCAATCAGATACAGGGAATGCTATGAAATATCATTCCAAATAAAAACAAACCTACCTTTCTGGATTTGGAGAAGGCAGATACAGTATTCCACTTATTCTCTAGGTACTTTTTCTATAAATCTATGCTATTATGGCTTTTTAGATTAGGGTCTAGGGTTAAGGTTAGAATTAGGGTTACAGATGGGAGCAGCTCAAAGAACAGTGTCAGAAATATCAATAGACCTCAAAGTTCCATGACCTATATTCACCTGAATGAATGCACCCATTGTACATGTTATGGTTTCTCTATAAGCATCATCTGTGTAGTGACTGGGAGAAATTCTTACAACGCATAAACGACAACTATATAATAATAATAATAATAATAATAATATCCTGTTTGCAATGTTTATAGTGCATTTTCCAACGAATATGCGACTGTATTGCATTAGAATTCTGATTGGTTGTTCAAGGTCACTGTAGTTTTGACTACGCTAGTTTAAATTTGCCCACATTGATCTTTGATCTTCCAAACTTGTACCATTCATTGTCGATAAATAATAAATCAGATCATAATCTTTCTTTTTTGTGAGTCAGATTCACTAATCCCATATGTATAAAAGCGATTGAATAAAGACTATGCTACAGCAGTTATAGAGTCAAAGAGTATAAGTCGTCAGTATCTTGATATACGCACAGGTATACTGACACACACACACACACACAAATAGTTTGCCTAAACACTTCTGAACCACTACTCACTTTCAATTTATGGCGAATTATTTAGTTTGCTTTTTTGTCGTTAACATAAAAAGTGTAGGAATAGATATGATAGAGAAGATTTGTAGCTCAGGTGGATGATTTTGATGTGGTTTTGTTCTCTGAGCTGGATGGTTAATTTGCGAAGCTTTCATCACCCTACTGGGTGACATCTTCAGCGCATACTTTCTCCCTTTTTTCGCTTTATTCTAAATGCTCTTAATTCAAACCATAAAAACACATTTGTTCTCCAAATTTTCTGTTCACCCTTATGTCTGAAAAAGTAATAGACAATATATAATATTAGTATACAATTGGTTGATGGTGGCTAGCAGTGGAATCCAGGATGCGCATTTCGTCCTATTTGGGACTCGTCATCTGGATGTACCTGCATTTCTCAGTGAGTGATGACGTTCCCACTGAAGCTCGAACCCAGTACCCATAATTTCAAACGCCAAAGCGTTGTCCACTAGACCACTTGGGCCACGAGAGCCACCTCTTGTGCAACGGGTCATGCTAATTATTGAATTGAATTTTTGATTTTCCCGTCGATCGTTTGGACCGAAGTGCTCAGTCTCAGGTTGACATGTCGGCTTCTTGTGCAGATGCTTCGACGATGTCTGGACAATAATATATAATATTGTCAGTCATATGACTGCAATTTTATTAGATCAGGCAGTCTGTTTCGTACTTCAAGAACAGTATTATGTATATTGCTATATATATAGCAATTATTAAAAAGACGGTTGCAGAGAAGAAAATTTTCTTTTTGACGAAGTCATCAACTAGGCTGTACATTCGTGTATTTATATTACATGTATGAGAAAGTTTCAGAATTATTTCCGGTCAGCGGGCAGATTAATAAAATTACAAAGTGTAAGAAACTGAAGATTGATAGTAGCACTGTTCTAGAAATATTTCAGGTCAAAGGTCAAATTAGAAATTCCAATGTGTAATAATCAGGAAGATCGGGTAGAAAAGATATAATAAGATTAAAATTCCATCATGAGCTAACAGTGGCTAGAGAAGCACTGGAAAACCTAGAAGTAGTGGACAGCTATTTCGTCCTAGTTTTGGACTCTTCATCAGCACGCACCCACCGGGGTTCGAACCCAGGACCTTCTGGTTACAAGGCGAGCTCAAAACCCTACAAACCAACACTTGAATATCAATGAGATGCCCACTAGCGACTGGACCTATTTAGCTAGGTAGTTACCCGGGGTTCTAGTGGAAATTCGTGACCAGTAGGGTGCAGCAGGTCGGGTGTTAGGACAAATACTCGCCAGCGAAGACATTGGCTAGTGGTCACGCCATGTCGTGAATTGGCAGAAGTTGGAATTTCATGGGCTGACCCAGTGGCTTAATGGTCTACGAGCTCGCCTAGTAACCAGAAGGTTCCGTTGTGTTGAAAAAAACATCTGACTGAGATGGGTAAATTACTTTTTATTTATTACTATACTACTACCTACTTGAAGGTATTTAATTTTGGTACTTTTATTGCACTACTGAATCACTCTTTTACGACTTATATGCTGAGAATCAAGTCAAACAATCTAGCGTAAGAAACAGTTATTACGTTTTCACCAACCATGTGGGAATTTCTTCTCTTTCGTAGACCTTTTTTATCCAAAAATGACTACACATACTGATGTTTATTTGTTACACACACCATGAAACCATACTTAGTCCTCAAATCCGACTGATGGGGTTGCATTTCTTCAAGCATGCCTCGTTACCATTAATTCCTTCGACACAGATCACTACTGGTAACCTTCCACTTGGTGCTTTGAACAAAATCAGTAAAGTAACATTAAACGTCCATTTCACTTTGATCAGTCCGCCATCAACTGCTATTTTCAATTTTTCAATGTCAGTTTTCATATAAGATCAGTTGCGGTGTATTCGCTACTTGAAAGATTCGCCTTTGCATAAAGATTTTCCTTCTTTTAACTTTTACCTCAAAAACTATTCTAGATGGTATGTAAATGGACGTCAAGTAGAAAATATTGTTGAATCATGGTATCGTCTTCGATTAACAAGAGAACTACACCAATCTGTCTTTCGGTGTATAGCAATTTCAAATAAAAAAGGATCTGCAGAAACAACAATTAATGTTAAATGTAAGTTCATTTATTCAATGATTATTGATAACTGTTAGTTGATTGATTTCCTTTCTTTGTCTGCTCCTTAATAATCTACTTTTGTAGACATTCAGTAGTAATGAACCGTAAATAGGAAAAAGTTCAAAGTATCTTTGGTGATTTGAAACTACACGCTCTAAACACTAAAAATTACTTCAAAATTGGGTTGCTTCACTTCTAGAAGCCTATTTCTATCCAACTGGTTAAAGTTTAACTAAATTTAAGGGTATTTCCAAACAATAGTACTCATCATATTACAAGCTAACCAACACAAAATCTTTAAGCTGTGAGGTCACTATGTTACTTATCACGCATTTGGTCTCAAATCCATAGTTTTGTAATTTTAAATCCTATCCAATCTACTACATAATCGCACTAAAACCTATTTCTGCCCAGTCTTAGCAGAAGTTGTCGAGTGAATTCATTACTAGTGAGACTTCCTCAGTCTGCGTTGATGACAGCTGCCTACTGATAACACATCGTAGCAACACCACTAAATTGTTAATTGGTGTAACTTCAAAATAACAGACGCTGTATTTTAATATAGTTGCTAAATGACTAAAGTTTGCATCCAATAAACTGTCAGTCCTAAGCTGGATAGTTTAAACTTTCGTTACTGTGATCTACCAAGCAGTCTCAAATTACAGCGGTACAGCTATTTAGTTCACCAAATTGTGCTGATCTATAACTGAGGTCACTTTTCATCGCGTGGATAAAGTCCCGTTCTCAGAACAATAAATTTAATAAGACGAATGTAGCTGGGGAACCTATAATATCTGCCGCATGTTCAACAAACTTATGTACCACTAAGCACAATAATCATTTCGGAAATTGAAATTGTTCTGACCACAGTTGGTAATCTGCTTAATATCATAAATGGTAATCAGGAAGGCAAGCTAATTTTCAAATTGCCAATCCGATTTATTGAATTACCAGTTCACCCATGTATCGTACGATAAGTCCGGTTTTTTCAGCTGATTCGGTTCTCTGGGCTGAATCAGACTAAGTACACCACCGATGAGCTCGCCCCCAAATGAGCGAAATGGCTGCCCTATGTTCAGATCACTTCAATCCGGATTTCACTAAATGTATGTTACTTAAGAACATTACTGATGTGCACCTATGTGCTTATAAACCAGTAGATTTTGAAAGTAAATCCTAGCATATTAAAAAAATTATCTAATGCAAAATATACAAATTATCATAAAACTAGCAGTTCTGTTTGCATTTATTGGCTACTAGAAATCATCATTTTCGTGTATCTAGTGCTTATTGCCATTGAAGTTCTGTCTGTGGAGTTTTTATCAATCTAGTTGACTTGCTATTACGGTGAACTTTGACCATAATTAAATCCCTAAAGATTCTCTCACTAGTTGTGTCCACAAAATAAGATATTTGGAATGTAATGCGATATACATCGGACAAACATCGCCAGAGAAAGATCAAAATCAGAAGAAATGAACACTGTAGAGCCGCTCCGATTCGACTACTGAGAAATCCAGTTGAATTAGAAGAGCTTGAAAAATCATCAGCCATAGGTCTACACGCTATAGAATCAGGACACAAAATTGATTTTGACAATATTGAAATCTCAACAAAACAATAAGAAGACGTAGTTTATCTGAAACGTGCAATGTATTGGCGCAACACATTTCGGACATTCTGATCACACACATACTTGCCATACACAGTTTTTATATAAGGCAAGAAAGCATGAATAATTACAATACAGGTCAGATTGTGTACAGGTCAAGGTCACAAAACAGTGGGTAGGGAGACGCAAAAGGTGTGGGTAAAAAAGATAGGGAGGAAAAAAAGGCAAAGAAAGGGTTTGAAAATGTTTGAAGTAAAATTGGTCCTTGGTTCTAAGTTGGATTACCAAGGCAGGTTTAAGGTGATAACAAATAACTTTTGAACGCATAAGACAGGTTTAAGTCTTTTAATGGCTAAGGCTTCAATGAATTTAAGTATGTGACCCGGCTTAAACGCATTGTTAAAATCAACCTTATGACCCGTCTCTATAATATGCTTCACTGTAGATGATGTTGGACACCTATTTCCGGGGTCAATTGTATCTGGCGATTTCATTTGTTGTTGCAGCCACTTTGGAATGTGTTCTGTAGCCCTAACATGCAGAGACCGATGAGTCTTCCCTATGTACGTGTCTCCACACATACATGTAAATTGATAAACACAGTGGGATGTGACACTATCGTTCGGATAATGTGAGGGTTTACAGGACAGCATAGTTTTCGTTTTCTCTATGAAGATAAGTTTAGCTGCATAATAGGTTCTATTAATTGCGGCCTTTAGTCTTTGTCTAGTGACTAGACTTTGTTGATCGCCTCTGAACGACAAGGATATGTAAACATCCTTTATGGGAACTGATTGGATTGGTAAAGCTGTATGGTTGACACTTCCATAACGTCTAATAAATCTCAGTGGGTAATTGTTATCTAACAATATTTCAGTGCGATGTTGTCTTTCTTCTTCAACTGTATCGGCGGTACATATAACATAACATAACATAAGCTTTATTCCAAATCAGTACTTGTGATACAGAATGGAATTCTCAGCATTTTACTACAATATTGCATCCAGTTAGTACATTAACAATAAATAAAGTTCTACATAGATTAAAGTTATCTCAACAACATATTAGTATGTCGGTAGCAAAGCCAAAATTTAAACAGAGTGTTTGAAGGTGTTAGAAAAGTAGATACTACTAGCATATTTACTGGCGTAAGCGATAGCAAAATGGTCAAGATATACAGAGTGTGAAAGAACGAACAAGAATGTTTTAAGTAGAGTTTGCAAGGAAGAGAGAAACAAAACAGCACATAACAAAAATAAATACAGAATGAAGAGCGAGAAAACGTTGTACCTATAAATGATGTGAGTTGGAAAGACGAGATCCATTGGTTCTACTGACTATTTAATAAGTTAAAGGTTTCATGCCTGATGCATTCTTTATCGCACAGAACACGGGCTAGGTAGGGTATGGATGAGTTTTTGTACTTACTAGTGCGGGCATATAGTTTCCTATATAGGCTTCTTGTTTTCCCTGAAGAGATACATGGGGAGAGTTGTGAATGTAGAGGGTGTTGTGAGTCAGATAAAATGGATTTCGCCCATTTTTCACATGAGTCCATGTGCCTGTCCACCAGAATGTTAACAAGCTGGCTAAGTGGCAAACTGCTTACCCTGCTGACAACCTTTAACATCCTACGTAATAAGGTATAGTCTTTCTTCAATAGCCCAGGAAAGACTAAGGGGGAGCAATAGAGAATAATAGGCAGAATACGGGAGTTAACAAATTGTAGGAGTAAGGGTTGGGTTACACCAGAATGTCTTAACTTCTTGATGTAGAAGGTAAGACGGTATATTTTCTTGGAAATCGTCAAGATATGAGACGACCAGGAAAGATCAGAAGATAGAGTGACGCCTAGGTATTTAATTTCCGACTTGGTTTCTATTTCACTGCCATCTATGTTGCACACCTCGTGAGTGCTAACCAGTTTGTTTAGGTCAGATTTATGCCTAAAGGTGAAATTAACTGTTTGGCATTTGGAGGGGTTTAAGGTTAGACCGTTTTCCTTGGACCATTGGCTGACTTCTGATAAGAAGCCATTTAGTTTAGAGCAGTCACTTTGACATTTGACAGGTAAAGATACAGTGAAGGGAACCAATTGCTTTAAATATTGAAATCATCACCCAGAAACATTTCAGATATTACAAAGAACGTCTAATATCAGAAGCACTTAACAGCATATGGAATCCAAATGGTCGGAATAGGAGTGATGGACTAATAAGGAATTTGACCTGGTTACAACACACCTTCTCCTTCATGTAATGACAGAATCAACACGAATGTGATAAGCAATTTCATTATGTAAACAAACACGCCTCTTTTATAAACAAGTATCGAATCCAACAGTCTACATCTTGCTTTGTTATCTTTACCAACTTGCCAACTTGACAACGCGAAAATTTACCCCATGCTGATGAACGATGATTAGGTTGTTATATACAGGCTGAGATTTTATAAATTCTGGTTTAATAATACTTTGATAAAGCTATTAACGGCATTAAATAGTGAAACGCCAGTAAGTACAATATCGTTTTGTTTTTCATTCATTGGAAAATACAAAAGCACCTTTATTATAATGAATATCATGTACACAATGCCAAAATTTTCTCAAAGTGTTAAAAGTGAACTTAGTTTTGGCATATATAAATGATTAGGTGTTATTATTAGATTTTTATGCATTAACGCGTCTTGGAAAACTGCTGAGTTTCATGACATTTTGTCGTTGTTTTTTAATATACTTTTCTATCTATTTCAGTTGGACCTCAGTTTCATCAAGCTTCTGCACTATTATTCACAGCTTCTCCTGGTGAAGACGTTTACATGGAATGTCCAGCATTCGGTAATCCAACACCACATATCGAGTGGAGACGTGAAGGCGGTAGAGAAGTTCTTTCACGTAGTGTTTCATTAAAGCGGGAGAATTTAAGAGAAGAAGACTTTGGAACGTATATATGTACAGCTTTTGTTCCAGAATTTCCTCCTGTTTCTAAACAAATGTATATAGCCAGACGAAGTAAGTCTTAAAAAATACATTTTTTTATGTAGGCTAATCAAATTATTATAGTTGTGTATATGTATTCAGTATGAAAAGAGGGGAGTTATTTTGACCAGTTAGTAATCCCTGTTCGAAGGTTCTTCTATCGTGTATTATGTAGTACTCTCTGAATTATAGTTAATACGAAAGGGGAACAGTAGGATAGTATATGCCCCTCTTACTTTTTGGTGCATCGGTGGCACAGCGGTAGGACGCTCGCCGACCACGCATGTGGTTTGGGGATCGATCCCTGCCCGACGCATTCCTCCTTTACCTCGCTAAGCCAGTAATCAGACTGGTTGGGCATGAAGCAGCAACCCAATCCTGTAGAAATAATCTCCACTGCTACCGAAACTTCAAGCATTTAACTTGAAGCCCTATTTACCAGTGGGAACGTAAAGAAATAAAAATAAAAAACTTACATTTTGTAGTCTCTACTTTGAATATTAATGGAAAATGAATGACGTTTGAACAAATTATTATTACTTTATTGTCTCCCGCCTTTAATAACTCATTCAACCTTTGCTTTTTAGCCGAGAAACTTATGTGTTTCTGATTTGAAAATTGTTTAAGCTATAGACTGACTTCCTTCTAAGCTGTAAATAATCATTTCTAATGTTTGTTTGAGTTAGCATTTTGTATATGAATGAGCATGCTCTGGTGGCTCAGTTGTATAATACCCACCAATTAGGTAAGAGATCTGGGTCCGATTCCCTGACGACACACTCCTAGTCTTGTTTATCCGGTAGGAAGCCTGGACGTGATGCGAACAACCCTACCCTGCAAAAACAACACCACTACTGAAACTTTAGTTGTCGAAGCCTTATATTCAACTCAGGACTCAAAACGAATGTAAGTTTAAAAAAATATAACCATATTTGATACTTTTTCCATTGCTTTGCGTTCCGAATGGTACGTAGGGATTCAAGGACTGAAGTTTCAGTAGCAGTAGTTTTATTTTACGAGGTTTAGACTGCTAGACCGACATCCGAACCTCTCTCTTCCTTAGATTTACTGCCGGTTAGATGAAGAAATGCGCAGACCGCCAATCGAGCCCTTACCAAGTCTATGAATGGCAAGTATTCTACCATTCAGCTAGTGATGTGCATACCTGATAATTAGGAGATCAAAACACCTCTAGTCTCCTCAATAATCCTTCCTATGTGATTATGTATGGTCAGGGTAGCAACAGAGGTAATTACAAGTAGAAACTAAGTAGAAGTCGGGTAGAGAATAATGCCATTTCAATTAGAACTGAAACTGAGCAGATAAGTTGGACGACGTAACATAAATGACTAGAAATTGAGCGTTGGTCAAGTCAGTAACAGTGGCAGTGAAGTGTAGAAATTAAATCGCTTGGGGATAGAGAACAAGAAGGTTGAAAATTTAGAATATTACAACTGAGAAGACAAAATAATACTAATGAAGAGACAGAAAAATAGATTAGGTAGAATTTACCTTTCGGGTAATAAGATAAATTACGTCCATTGCAAGTGTCGTGATTGAACGAACTTCTTCTGTATGCAGAGTTTAGGGCTTAGTAAGTAAATCGCCATTGCTTCTGCAGTTTGAAGAAGTTGATTCGTACACCTTCAGGAAGACTACCTCTAACTCTGTAGACAACTTTGAAGTTTGTTTGCGGTGTAGCTCGATGTCCGGATTCTGTCAGATGTTCTACGATCGAGCTGCAGGGGCATCGTTTTTCTCCTTTGTAAAACCATGTTGGTAAGTGTTCGGTGATACGTCTGGAAAGCAAACGCTGGGTACGACCGACATACCTGGCCCACACGAGGAGGTGAATTGATAAATACACATTGATGAGGCCAGCAGTGGTAGCTTATCCTTCACGTTTACATCAATCATAGGTTTTGTGGAGAAGGTTAGTCGTAGTTCAGCTGCGAAGAAAGTCTTCTTAAGTGAGCGCGACAGTCGAATTTTTTAGTGTTTCCGCAGATATATCTCCACTAAACTGAAGGTTCATGTAGAGTAGTTTTATTCGAGACGCTAAGCGTGGGTGTCTTTTGTAGTCTAGAATTAATAGATTTCGCAATAAATCGTTCTGGATAACAATTCTTGACGAGGATTTCCTGAGATTGTCCAATTCACTTTCTGTGGTGTCCGAGGTGCAAATTCTGCGAACTCTGCAGCTGAGTGAACGGATCAGGTTTCATTTGGTGTATAGGGGCATCCAACGTTGAAAGTTAGTAAGCTGTCCGTTCCACGTCGACTTTCTGTAGATAGATCTTTCAATGTTCCATTCTGTCCTCGTCCAGTTAGTTGGACGTCGAAAAAGAATATTTTGGAGTTGGACTCTTTCGCCAGCATGAATTGAATCGCGGGGTGGCAGTTGTTATACGACTTCAAGATATCGTCTAGATTTTCTTCATTGTTGACGATAATAAAAATGTCGTCGACATATCTCTTGTAGATTTCGATTATGTACGACACCACATAGAGAAAATATGGCTTTAAATCTCAATTTCAGTTTATGAGAGGCAAATAGAGTCGAATAATAAAATAAACCAGTTAGTCTGTTACACGGAACAAACAGCATATGGCAATCCTTTATACACCGACACACGCTGTCAACTATCACTATCGCTTAACATGTTACCAGTTTGTTTGAAAACAAACGCAAATCTATGTAGGCATGATTTTTCTAATATTCGATGCGCACAAAAAATACACTGAACTCCTCTCGTCTTGTCAAGAAATAAAACACTAGTGTATAGACAGAAATTATAAAGATAAGCTTACATATCCGTTTTACATTAGTATTGCTTAGTCTTTTAATAGTAGAGAATAGTAATAACTAAGAAAACTACGAATCTTGTTGTGTGTAAGTAATTCTTACATGAAATCAAATCACCTGGTCATCTTATCTCAATTACAAAAGTATAAACAACAATTTCAGTTTGTCCAGAAATTTTACCTATACAATTATGGCGCCATTTTGCTTTTACTTCCCCTGTTTCTACAGCTTTCTCGTCACACACTAATACATACACACACAGAGAGATAGATAGACATTTATACACAATCGAAGAGACACTGATGTTTTCTGAATATATGTGACTTTTATCATTCTTCTTGTTGTTGCTTAATGAGTATATCGATTAATTGCACAGATCGTTGAAAGATATTCATGCAAACACTGATAACTGATTTTTAAATAGTTTTTTTTTTAATTTTTAAATGTACTGCAAACTAGATACGTTTTATATATGTGTAAAACTTGGGCACTGTGGTAGTAAGTAATTCCATATTAGTTTGTTTATTAGATGTATCACACAGTGAAACAGTATTGTATACTGGATGACGTTTCGAACACAATTTGATATTGATATGATTATGAACAATAAGTTGTGTTTGAAACGACATCCAGTATACAATACTGTTTCACTGTGTGATACATCTAATAAACAAACTAATATGGAACTAGATACGTTTTCTCCAGTGAAACTCCTTGTATCAAGTTATTTGTAGCAGTAGTAGTAGTAGTAGTAAAAGAAGATGCGTGTTCAGTAAGAATAAGATATACGAATAATATACAAAAAAAAATAAAAATAATAATCATTACAGATTAAAAAGATCTCAAAACAATCCCATACATATTCTCATGGGTACAATAATGATGGCTTACATAAGATTAAAATATTGAAGATAGAAAATAAAAATCGAACTGGTTTCTACATTCAAAATCCTACCAAATTCTTTTTTATTATACTGGGAGAGAGAGGTTAGACATACACAGAGAGAGAGAGAGAGTAATATGAATGTGAATCATGAATCAAATCGTAATACTACTCAAAATTGGAGAAAAAAATAAATTAAAGTTGGGATTATATTATCATTATCGTTGTTATTATTATTATTATTATTCCCCTGAGTTCTGAATGGAACATAGAGCTTCAAAAGCACAAGTTTATTTTATTCTGTTTTCTGAGGGCCTCTCTATTTGGCCCCGCGATTGCCCCTAAACCCTTGATCTCCTCCTGGCATGATTTCCTGTAATATCATCCTTGGACCAAGCCCAATTTGTCGTTTTCTATTCGAATTCCCGTTGTGGGCTTGTCTGGAGTGCGATGTCACTTATTGGTCTCCTTAGCGTGTATCCGATCCCTCTGCATTTTCTTTGGCATACTTGCTGAGCAGTATGTTGTGACTGGTTCGTTCCCAGAGTTTTTCGTTGCTAATTCCTTCTGACTGGCCATCTGATCTTCTTCAGTATGGAGCCACAATAGGCAGCTGGAGATGATGGAATTCTGTAGCATATTGGAAATGCTTTACGTGGCTCGTCAAGTCTCTCAACCATTCAGAGTCTTCTGAACACCTTCAGCGGCAATCCGCTAATGTCTGGCATGCAATTCACTCTCGCAAAATGTAAGATGATGCTACAGGACTAGACTACATTGACTGCCAGCTTAAAGATAGTGAGTGAAATGGTGGAGCGTGTTGACTTATTCACGTATTTGTAGAGTTGCACCAGCCAACTCCAACGGGTTGATAACTGACGAAATCTAAGCTCGAAAACAAAAGGCTCGGTTTGCGTATACCAGTTTACACCGTCTCTGGCGTAGACATGATATCCAGCTATCAACCAAAGGGCTTGTTCACTGCTCAGCAGTCCGCTCCGTTTTCTTTTATGACTGTGAGAAATACCAATTGAAAGGGGAAAACGTGAAAAGGCGGACTACTTATCTTTGATCATAGGTTCCTGCGTTCTATCCTCCGTGTGAAGTGATATGTTGGGGTGAGCAATATTGAGGTTAGGCATCAGTCGAGTGCTAGCTAAGGAGGGAAAATCAGTAAACGACGTTGTGAAGTCACATCGAAAGGGTTAGATGGTTAGGACATATGTTACATATGTTAGCCATCGCCCCCTCGACGACCAATGTTAGCTGATATAGGATGGATCAGGTTGGAAAAGCGCCACTGGTGCTCAAACGAAAACATGGCTTAATCAGTCAATGAAATCC